CTAGTGATCTATTGCAAAATGGTGGAGAAACAACGGATGGGTCTTAAAAACGAAATGACTAACTGCGATGATATCAGCTGTGACCGAGCCAAACCACAGAACTTTTAATAACGGCTCTCTGCAGTACTCCTCAGACTGAAAGGCAGGCTCTTTTTGGAAATCTGCCGCGTATGTCAGCCAGTTTTGGTGCCGCAGTCTGAGCAACGATCATACTGTTTGTCAAGTTCAGATTTTCGCTTTCGAGTTGACCTGCCTTCTCTGCCAGAAGTACCTGTTCTGTTCTTCAATCATTTATTTGCCCCTCCGAGAAACTTTATAATCTCTTCGGACAAAACGTAAAGTCCCTTACAATTCTTGCGTTGCAAGATTTCCTGATTCAAGTACAATGTCTCGGCGCTGTTTATCGACAGAGGGGGGGGGGGGGGGGAGGGGCATTTTGTACTATCACTGCTTCCCTTGTTCCGGTTTGCAAATCTCACTTTGGTAAAACTTGTGAACTCTTGTAAAGCTGGAGCAGGATCGTCTAGCCACCATCCCAAAACGTGTCAACTCAAGAAAACGCTACCTAGATGGGTCGACACATCTATGGAAAGCAAAATGCCCCCTCGATAAACTGCGCCCAATGTCTCTATCCCCTATCGAGTGCGGAGCTCGATAAAGGATAGAGTGATCGGATCTGAGGAGCGATTCCATTTTTTTAACAGATCTAATCAGTCTTTTCGGATAAGCGTCGTACCTATATTTTGTTTCGTTCTCCAGTACCTTCTTTCAGCTGAGTCATGGAAAGTGGCCGGTGTTTTGCTTATATTTATCTTGTACCAAGCTGGAGGCACCGCAATCACCTGAGATTGAGTGAGATTGAGAGTGAAAGCTTCGTTATACGAGGAATCGTCCTATTTTTTAGGATGCTTAAACTATTACTGCATGCTCGTGCTGAAGGGAAGAATTTCAACTCTCATTGGAATGAAAAAACTACTACTACAGCATAGATGGGTCCTTGCATTCCCTAGTTATATTCTCTCTTTTTTTTCTTAGCACAGGATAGACCGGAACATCGAAACAAATTATTTGAAAGTAGGTGGTTGCATCCTGCAAGTAGCATCCAAGAACGCTGGCCATACAAATCTAGATCTCAACTGAGTCACATTGAGTCGTACAGGACGAGTGTTGGGTGTACGGACACAGCGCAGAGTTGTATCAACGGCAGTCCTCCCCCAAGCACATCGTGGGCTCAAATGACAGCATAGTACGCTCACACACATTTGAGGGTGTATGAGACTATCAGCCCCCCAGCTGTCGATGTGTCGTGGTCCCCCCGCCCAAACATGCCCAGGAATGGAGATACAGGACCGTGAAACACGCTAATTCCTTCCAATGCTCCGCTTAACCATTTTGCGCGCAGATTTCATTGTCCTTCATAACATCCGTCGTAAGCGCGCGTGTCGCGTGCGGCTCCTTGGCACTTTGCCAAGTCCTTTAATTGCGCTCTCAAATACAAGTAAAACGCAATTTCCTGATGCGGATAACATTGGAGGTGCTGCAAAATAAGAACAGAAGATGATGACGAGGGTCAGAACTTAAAGCAACTGTGCCTGCTTCTGCTGCACATGTCCCTCGAAGGCGCGGTATTTTACGAAGCATGAAAAAGTAAAACCGCATAACTCGTCTTAGTTTGTATAGCAAGCAAAACGCAATTTCCTGATGCGAATAAAATTTTAGGTGTTGCTCATGCTTCAAAATCCATGTACAAGGAGATGAAGATGACACAGGCTAGAAATGAAGCACAACGATGTAAATGTAAATAAAACAATAAATGGAAAATCAAGGAAAGGCAAATTAGTTGAAATCGCCTGTCAGAGGTTAAGTTTCTACGAATCCAGCTGCGAATCTTGGCGGCCAAAGCCATAGAAATACTTAGAACAAACGAGTGGGACGCTTTTGGGTTGTTTTATTCTCATGTTTTGTGGGAATGCGCGGCCTCTGATGGATACTACAGATGCAGCAGAGTTGCTCTTGAGTTCTGGCCCTCGTCATCATCTTCTGTTCTTATTTTGTAGCACCTCCAATGTTATCCGCATCAGGAAATTGCGTTTTACTCGTATTGAGAGCGCAATTAAAGGACTTGGCAAAGTGCCGGAGCCCGCAGAAGCCCGCACGGAACACGCGCTTGCGACGGATGTTATGAAGGACGGGAATCTGCGCCGCAAAAAGGTGTAAGGCGGAGCATGGAAGGAATTAGCGTGTTTCACGGTCCTGTATCTCCATTCCTGGGCATGTTTGGGCGGGGGACCACGACACATCGACAGCTGGGGGGCTGATAGTCTCATACACCCTCAATGTGTTTCGGAAGCGTACTATGTGCCTTCTTTTTCTAACTCCAATTCAACTGTGGCGATTCGTGTGCCTGCAGGGACTGTCGCCATCACATGATAGTGCTAATATGAAGATAAGCTATCGCTTTTATATCACTTGGTCTAGTGTACTACGTGTGTACTAGGTCATGCTTGGATGAGTTTGGGTAATTCCCACAACTATAATTGCCCACCTATCGAGACTCCCTGAGCCGCTAGGAGCAGCCTAATTAGTTCCTATTTTTCGAGGGAGGTGTGGGAATTCGCAGAAGTGAGCCAGGATAGAAGCCCATTTGAAGCGTAACTTTGAAAAGTTTTGATGAACTTTTCTAACCTAATATACTTCTATGATTGATGATCACTCGTGGCTAACAGTGTGTATTGAGCGGAACAACGCATAATCCCTCCCGGTAAGTGGCTACGCATTTCCTCCAACGTCTTACTGGCAGAAGGGGACCTTACTGATTTTGTCATATTTAATCTCTTGCATCATCTCACGTTGACTCTGAGAGTCTAAGACTTTGTATTGATTATGAAAACTCGAGCCAAAGTGAATGCGGAATGTGTATGTCTTACCACACTTATCCATCAGTCCTTTGCTTGTACCTTAGCTTCCACGCGAGAGCTTACGGTGCAAAAAAGGATCGAAGATTGAACGATTAATCTGAACTCAACCTGGAGGTTGGCTAATGGTGCACAGCAGATCTTGTTTCAAAACAGGCGAGCAACACCCTTCAGCGCACACTTCCACTGCCGAGCGATCTTTATAAAAACGTGGGAACATGTGCTCGCTTCAGTGTATCAATCCCAAATAATCACGAACGCTGTGGAAATGTGTTATAGCATTCCCATCCCACATATAAAACCAAATGGCTTCATGAATCGGCTTCTGGCCCGGTAGTTAATCCCTCCAACACCCGATTATGCGCCGACCTGGTTTTAGCCTGGAATAACCTTCAACGCAGATGTCTAAATAGTGCCAACTTGTCACACATCAGTTTGGCACTCTTGAGGGCATCTGAGAACTGTATGCCTCTTTGGTGGCAACTGCCGTTTATATACTCTTCGGGAAGTGAAAACATTCGAATTCTCGGGAATTTTTACAGCTGATATAATCATGCATATTACAGCGTGGGAATTTTCCTAGACACACCCGTCGGCCGAATTCCACTCCCTTCTTCGGCATAATTCTTCTTCCTTGCCTAATTTCTGTCTTACCTAGTTTTCCTTATAAGTTTTCTACCGAGCTTAGGAGGTGTGTGAAGCGCACTAAAACGGTGAAACCAACAAAACAAAAAAAAACTCTTTTGAGGTGAAATACGCTCCCTCTCTGAAGGACCTTGAATACTAAATATATTACGTAGTGAAGGGAATTTCCACTCCTGCCCTGTCGAAAGAAAGGAAAATACAGCACCTAATCATGGTATTTTTCGTGAATTAAAACCAACAAAAAATCAAAAAAGCAAAAATTCGAGGCAAAAATATCAAGTGGCATAAAAATGTCACATACCTGGAGCATACCGCTTGTAATTTCGCTTGCAAATTTCTCTTGAATTTCCGCGGTTTTATTCCGCACGAAAGTGGATGAGATTTGCATTGTAGCAAACATAACAAGAAACAAGATCTCTCTCCTGTAATTTCGTTCAGTGACATTTAAGTTTCTCTCCACCATTGATTTAAACCGAGGTATGACCATACGCAGTTACACAGGGACGCTCTTGTAAAACTGCATCAGTGTTCACCTGTGATAATCCGTCTAATTTCCCAAACAAGGAAGAAAGCGTTGATATAATGTAGTCAGTTTTTCTCTCGGCAACTGGAATACCGATAACCTGAAAAACTAGTAGAAACTAACAGCAATTCTAGTTGCATCAATCAACCACCACTTGTATAGGGTTGCTATCTCATCATGAGCACATCCCACGCTGGTAATATGAGTGGAATCACTAAAAATTGTGTCGTCGTCATTGCGGCCGTACTTTCTAGAAGAGCAGCTCATCATCATATAGCTCCAGTTGATAATGAGTATTCTGCTAGGTTTGCCCAACTGATTTCTAGGGCACACTCTAAAATTGCGGATAACAAATAAATAAATAAATAAATAATGCGTTGCGAAGACAAAAACATGGCTTGAGCCCTTGCGATGCCCACGAAACCAGACCAGAGACCCTGAGTGGGTCTTCCGCCCTATGCAGTCTGTATGTTCTTTTCAAAAAAAGCTTCAAGAAGAGTGTGTATGGGTTCTCTACAAGAGCGTTGCTTGAAATTTGCAGGCCTCAAGAGGGCAGCTTTTGCTGAAATTTTGACCCGAAAAGAGCAAAAGTAAAATGATCAACTTTGTGTATTGATATCACACTGCAAATCCTTCAAATTTTACGCAGATATTGCAATGCCTCATCAACAGTTTCTCGAAGCTTTCTTGGAAATTTTACAATCGAAAACATAGTACGTTCCGATACATATGAATATATCAACAAATTTCGTACTGAGAACAGGAGGAGTTTTCTCTCAGTTTTCGAAAGAAAACTTAGGTTTGCTTATTCCTTAAAGGCAGTTGGCACGATAAATCCCTAAGATGAGTAGGATTAATACTCCTGGCAGGACGGAATTCCGCGCCGCTGAGCAGGCGCTGCGTAGCGCCCTTTCCAAGGAAGGTACCCTTATGAGAGCCCTATCAAGACACAACCTACCGACCTGAATGCCGACCACGCCACCCGCCCCACAGGATGCAACCATTCCGGACGCTCGTATTGATTCATTTGCTAAGCAAATTATGAAGTGAAGGGATTGGTATGAAGCGGCGGCGGTGCTGTATGGATATATGAGTGCCACATGCAGCCTTATCTCCGGCACCAATTATTGGCAAAAAGCCTACGGGAGACTCGTCCAAAATTGATTTCGAATCCAAATGAGAACGAAGGTTTTTTCTTCGCAGGATATTGACTGTTTCACTACGTTCTTTCGTCTTTTCCATTATATAGCGCACTGCTGGCATTTTAGACCGAGTAAAAAAGTATCGTGCCAACTGCCTTTGATATCAAAGGCTGAGCCCTAGTTTTTTATCTCGATTTTTTCTTTCCCTTTTTTGATTTGATTTTTTCCTTGTTGAGTATTTTCTCTACGAGCACAAAACAAAACTGTTGTCGGATTCTAGAAAAAGGTGAAACGTCTCAGAGAAAGCGATTTTAAGTTTACGAGATGTTGAACCGCATAGACGGAACGAGAAGGTTGTCAAGAAATTCGTCGAGGCCCTGTGGGACTGAAATTTTGAGGGGCTCTAGACATCGTTCCTTGAAAGACTTTAAAAAGGAGAGGAAAATAAAAAAGAAGAGAAAAGAACATTCTCTGGAAAAAATTGTATATAGATAAAAATGTGCGGTTGGTAAGATCTGTAAATTCTTTTCATGGGTAGGGGAAAATCTTGTCACTGAATAGCTATGCTGGTTCTACAGTCAACAATGATGACTAGAAAAATGCTCTTTACAAAGCCAAACTGCGCCAAAATCTGCTTCTCTTCGAATGATTTTCCACAATTCAAGTTTTTCAGAAGAAGATTTCGAACGTTATTCTCTGTGTATTCAGTGAGTGATACCACCACGTAAAATGCTAGGATTAGCGGAGAACTATTCAAGAAAAACATTCATGCTCCTTACTCAGTCACGGAAGAAAACGAGCAACAAAGAGAGCAGTGATGCGCAGTTTTTCCAAAGCCAGTGGCAAGCTATTGCCAAAGCTAAGTAGAAAAAGAGAGATAAGTTAGAGCCGTATCCGCTAGAAAGGAGGAAGACCAGAACCAGAGAGCTTTTGGGTATCCAAAGAGCATAAGCTGAACTTTGAAGCCTAGAGGCACGGTTTGCCATAGCAAGCGCAGGTCATAGTGTCGTAGTGGGAGAGCAGTTGCCAAGATACTAACTAGTGAATGGAAAACGCAGGAGGGATCGTCGTAAACGCTAGGAGGGTCTTTTTAACTGCGAGCAGTTGTACGAGTTGAAGGCGAAAAGAACGCATGTCGGGACGAGTTCATCCAGCTGAAACATTGTAATGAACCCCGCGACTCCAGGAAAGACAATGGAGCTCTCATATCGTGCCATTCGTCGACGGTTCACTTTTCGTTGGAAAGCCAACTTTGAAGACGGAATATGGAGGCTGAGCTGCTGAGGCATGTTCGCGCCCTGGTCCTTTATCCTGCAACTTTCAACCGCAAAACCGGTACAATGCTGTCCAGTGAGTACCGCTCTACCTTCCCCATGCAATCTCTTGAATTTCCACCGGTCATCGCTGGCAGTTCTTTCAGTTTAGGTTTCCGAGACCAGCTGGGCGAAGACCACACAAGGCAGAAGGATTTACGAAATATTTCCTAATTATATGTTTATTGTGATGCACGTTCATCGCTTGCCGTATTTAACAAAATATATGGAAGAAAAAGTTCTCACCAGTTTTCTCCTTTCGTAACTTGACGGAAACAGCAGTACCGGAACTAAATCGTAGGCTGGAACATCATGAAGGTCCGGAAAAAGCGGGAGCAGATCATCCCATTGTAGTGAGAGAACCCTTTGCAATGTTGAGTGTTGTGAGACCTAAAAAACTTTTTCTAGTAAATTAGGAAAAATCCGAAACGCGGTTCTGCATAGGTGATCTCGGAATATCACAACTTGTTTGGTATCCCTAACCACTCAGAATAAGCATGGTCGGATGTAACAGATAATTGTTATCCGGTTAATAACTAATTAGTAGTTATGCCATCATTGTGAGAGCATGGATTTTGAGAGCTGTTGAGCGTTTTCCTAGATCCTCCTTACCCTCGTTCACGTGATGATCTCAGGTAATTCGGAGTAGAACGAGCGCTGCAGGACCTGTGCGATTAGCTTCGTCGAGTTTTCGCTCTCTGTGTGCATTCGCTCCAGATGGTCACACGCAATTTCACTGATGGGTTGACCTGATTCTGAGAAGCTAGCGTAGACATTTCTGAGTAGGCACTTCCTAGCAGATCGGATCGCCCGGCGAAGCCGGGCGATCCTCCTTCCGCGTGTGAAGTGAGTATCGCCCCAGAGTACTGCCCACACCAGCCAACCTTTTCTTCCTCTAGAAGTTGGTTTATTGGTGCCGAAATCATGTGTGAAAGAAACAATGACTCATGCACTGTTTGGCCCCATATGCCTGAACGCCCCATTCTCGTCATACAATAGCCTGGCTACCGGGACTTGGAAATTCATTTGAACTTCGAAAAAAGTATATAAAAAAAGGGCGAATGCATCTACAAACTTCCTAATTTTGATTCCGTTCCTGTTATAGTCATATCATAGCTGATTAAGTCAAAATATTTAAGGTGAATATGAAGAAAGTGCTGCAATTGGCGACCGTAACCATAATTTTTCTAACCACAGTGATAAACGATCACCGCTATTTATACAAAATTGACAAGGAAGATTGTCCTAACAAGGCACAAAGCACTCAGCGGCTGGAGAAGGTAAATTTTGATTAACTAACCAAATGCAATTTTGTTATCTCCTCTTTCTGTTATCTCTTAGACATCCTCTTATAAAGTGGCAGTGGTCCCTTTTTGAACATTGACCTTACTGTGAGCAAACTAAACAGGAAAGGATTTTAGTCGCAGTTGGAGCTCATTGAAATGGAGAGTTTATAGCGACGCATGTTGTCCTTCGCGATGACCCTGAAGAGTAAAGGTAACGGATTGAGCCATAGGGTAGATATTTGATAACTGAAACGAGCTTCTCGCCGGTTCAAGAAATTCGTAACGTAATTTTCAACTATTCTGTGAGATAGATTTGAGTCCCGCGGCGATCGCCTATTCTAATACTAATTACTGGAAGGGCATGCCGCCTCGCTGTGTTCCGATCCGCGCTTGACAGGACATACGCGAAAGGCTTATCACGAATATCATCTCAGCAACTCTCAACCTTCAGAGTTTCTGGGTAACGGGGTGCAGCCACCTTCAGCTTGGCTGAAACCTCAGAGTAATAACAACAAAACGTCGACGAACAAAGACTTATGATGTAACAAATTTCTTTGAATGGTAACCGAACAACTTGTATAGGGCAATCCGCGAAATAGGGATTAGGGGAGATACATGATGATTGATTTGGGAGGGAACTTACATTTTGCAATGTCGCAATTGCAGAAAATTGATGAGAACGTGTTGGAGAGAGCATACGATAGCCCGCTGAATCGATCTCGTTGTGCATACCCTCATTTGACCCCTCTCGCGCGATCTTGAGCGGTCTATACTCGAAGAGC